ACGGGAGACTTTACATGAAACAGTGCGACGACTGCCCCAAGAGTCTGTTCTACCAGGGAGGCAGCGAGAAGTTGAGGCCCCTGAGTGAACACAGGAAGAGTGTGGAGGACATGCAGTGGGATCAGGATGCTCTGGAGAAGATCATAGAGAAATACAAGGTACGGGTGAAGATCACGTGTCTCATTATTAAATGTCTGGTGATTTGAGGAACAATGAAAAGCTGCGTTAATAATTTATCACATCTTTGTTCACAGACTATGGAGAGCAAACTGTTAGTCGGAGGAAAGACGATAATTGATCACACCAATGAACAACAGAAGATGCTGGAGTTGAAGAGACAAGAAATTGCAGAACAGGTCATTTGTAATTTAAAAAAAAAATCAATAATCACGTAAACAGTACTTTTTAAAGTTGTTTTACTGCATTGGAAATCTGACCATTTTTTGATTTCTAACTAAGCTGAATGTTTGTCCGTGATTTGCAGATAAGGAGCGAGCGAGAGATCCAGCAGCAGATGATGCTACAGGAAGAGGAGACAGTGGAGATGAAGGAAACCTTCTCCTCAATGCAGCAGGAGGTGGAAATGAAGACAAAGAAGCTGAGGAGGGTAGGATGACTCACTCACCGGAGCAGTTAATCTTATTTGCACGTGAGAAGACGTCATAAGGGAGGTGGCTCATGTGGGTCCGGATTTCTCTAAATGGAGCTATCAATTTCTGATGTTTAGGAATAATTCAATTCCTTGTTTCTGTCCTTCTCCACTAATGGCTTAAGATTGGTTTGTTTCAGTGAGAGGTTTCTATTGCAGCTTCACACTGTGATTTAGTCCAAGTGAAAACACTTGTTAACTTGTGGTGTCTGGTACGACCCTGCTCTGGACAGATATATGCCAAACTGCAGCTGGTGAAGGCAGAGATTAAAGACGTCATTGATGAACACGTCATGACCAGACAGGAGCTTGAACAGACTCAGAACGAGCTCACCAGAGAACTCAAGTACAAGTAAGTACACTACCTACATCATTGAATACACACAGATAAATGTACAAAAAAAACAATGTGAACTCTGCTGACACATTCCTTTGGTGCATTTTTGCAGATATCTCTTAATTGAGAATTTTATACCTCCTGAAGAAAAGAACAAGATCATGAACAGGCTGCACTTTGACAGTGAGGAGGACCAGTGGAGACTCCAGCCGGTGCTTCCACCAGAGAGGTCAGTGGATCCATCGTCAATCATCTTAAAAGACCATAATGCACTGCAGCCCTCAGGTATCATTTGTGAGGTGTTAAATCGAAGGGGGCAAACATCCCTTCATTACAACTACTGTAGTTACTATAATTGAGGATGAAACACATTTCGTTTTATACTGTCCTTTTTATTATGATTTAACAAAATATAAAATTAAGTTTTTGTTTAAAATCCAGAAATGTTTTGGTGCACGGCTGAAGAGAGAACAGAGCGGCTGTTCAATTTAAATGCTTATGAGTTGGCTAAAGTGCCGAAAAGTTTAGTATTATCTGTTAGTTATTTTGCCATTTTGGATTTTTATCTTCCTTTTTACTATTATTATTTTCACTGTGTTGTTATTCTTTCATCTGGTTTTCTGTTAACTTTATTATATTATATTTACTATAAATCAAAAGCTCAAACACAACCAAGTAAATTGTATTTTCTCATAAAATGTAAACATAAATGCTCTTCTTTTCTACATGATTTATTCAGTTTAATATATTTTTTATATGTAGGCCTGTGAAATGCTCGTATCAGGTGATTTAATCCACCAACCAATATATATGAGTCAGGCTCAAATTTTCATGTGAACATAGTGTCTTTCAAATTGTTTTTGCATTGTGTTCAAATTTTACCACTAGGAAGTGACAAAGTCCGTATGTGAGACTTTTTGTTTTCCAGCAGCTTAAATCTCACCTGCCGTACAAACTGAATTTAACTGACCCTTCCTCTCCTGTGTCTTTTTCCCAGCGCACCCAGTCGGGTCAAGAGACGGCCTCTCTCGGCCGTGGGATACAAGAGGCCAATCAGCCAATATGCACAGATCGCTGTTGCCACGGCAACTGGGGCCCCATCGAGATACCAGGTCAGTGCTCAGATATTCACGAGGACAGCTGGGAAAAGTACAGCAGAGACAGAGATGTGAAATATTGATCCTACGCTTCATATTTTGAATGTTCAAAGACGCCCTCTTTGCTGGATGATGTGAAGAGGCTTGTAGCCATGGTAACATTCACAGCTTAACTTGAATTAAAGAATTTATCTATCAAGCAGATGCAATCAAAAGTTTACATAGCAGTTAGGAGCATAGCAGGAGACAGGGAGGCGTCTTTAAAAGCAACTGCAGCTTTACTGTTGTCTCCTCTTTACAGGCTGAGAATATCATGCTGCTGGAGCTAGACATGTCTCCACCAACCATGTTCGCCTTGAACCTTAACGGCGCTCACCTGGAGAGGGCCTTCTCTCCGAGGCTGTTGGGGGATCTCGTGGTGAATGTTTCGGTCAGAGAGAGGGGTGCTGCATCGTCGAGGGTCAGGAAGTCCCAATCCTGGTGAGAGACTGGCTGAGAAAGGCAAATGTTTGTAGATACTGAAAGTTCGGATATTAATGATTATTAATTTAGGATTGGACTGAACATAGCCAGAGCAAAGTTAAGTGTAGAATTGTTAAGAGTTGTGTCAGGTTTTGCAGTTATGCTGCATACTTCCCTCCCTTTACTACAAAATAAACGCACATTTGTGTTTCGTTTTTTATCATTTTGTGATATGGTACCTCTCCAAATCCAACATGTTAGAATTTTAACAATGTCAATCTGTGTTTTTATGGTCCTCAGGTATCAAGCACCACAAGCAGCATCTGTCACATCATCGTCATCCTCCAGCGCTCTGACGTCAGGATCTCAGAGCTTCTCTCCCGCTCACAGACAGAGACCGTCCTCTGCTGCCTTTCTTTCACTGGACGGCCCGGTTCAGACAAGCCCCTGATATGTGTCGATAGATGTGCACTGTAGGACTGACCTGAGTTCAGGGTGGCCCCAAGTACTCCAGGGGCATCAGGGAGAGTTGGGTGGGGATGTTAGGCCTTGATTTTCTTTCTTTACCTTTGAGCAAGAATGATTTTAGTAAGCACCTGTTCAACATAACTGGAGAGAGATGCGTCCTCCTTTAAATCCAAAAGAATGTCAGACACATGAATGCAGAGGATGAATCTGTGGAGCTTTTTCAACTGATTCTCTTCGCTGGCTTTTCACCTCTGCTAAGCAGGTTATGTTTTCACCTGTCTGTGTGTTTGTTTGCATATATGCAAGATTACGCAAAAAAAAAAAAAAAACCTGACGGATTTCCACGGAACTTGGTGGAAGAGTGGAGTATGTATCAGGGAGGAACCCATTAAATTGTGATGCAGATCCGGATCAGGGGGCAGATCTAGGATTTAATTTTTCACTTTTCACTTTAACATTGGGAGATAGGGCGTTTTATTTTTGTTTTCACATTTTTACCATTTTCCTAAAGATTCATTAATGGATCTTGATGGGAAAAAAATGCACATTTAAGGCACTTATATCTACGTGTTGTTGAAATTTGTTGCAGCTTGACTGAATTTAAAAGGACTGTTTACCCTTGGGGGGGGCGGGCATGGTTTCAATCCAGGTTTGGCTGAGGTCTTATTGCGTGGAGTTTGCATGTTCTCCCTGTTTGTGTGGGTTTTTCTCCAGGTACGTCTTCCTCCGACTTCCCTGGGTGTGAGGTTAATTGAATTCTCTTAATTGGCCGTAGCTGTGAGTGTGTATGGCTGTCTCTTTATGTTGACCCTGCGATATGCACCTCTGGCACCAATGGGATTGGCTCCAGCTCTCCCTGCGAACCTTAGATAGTAGATGGGTGGATGTTGGGCCTTGGCGGAGGTATATGCGCCACTCTAGTTTGTACTGGTCTATCTGAATAGCACAGCTAAAACTTCCAAGCTTGGGAGATCTTTTCACGCCTTGATTTCATCTTTGTTTTGTTTAACCATTGTTAAAGAAACTCTGCTTGATGAATTGTTGTTAAAATGTTGGGTCAAACTTTTTCCAACCCTAAAATCAATAGACTCTCACCTTAGATGCTACAGTTTGGATAATTCATGTATTCTGTCAGTCCATGAAAAATGCATCTTTTTTCTACAAAGGAAACCAATCACCCAGGTCACATTGATTTTATACATTATTACCATCTCTATTTTAATTAAGCCGTTAGAAAGCTGATAAAACAGGAGTGATTTATTTTCAGGTTGATCGTGTGTGAGACTTTTTGGTTTTTCAGCAGCTTACATCTCACCTGCTTAAAAACTTTTAGTGTTTTTAAAGGTTCAGTTTGTAGAATTTGTTGCACCTGAATACCCCGCAACCCACCCTCCAAATATGAAGTTGTCATAAAAACTCAAATGGTTGTTTAGTCTAAAAAATATGGCGGCCTCCGTAGAGAGGAGCGTCTCCTGATGTAAATATAAAGTATTTAAATATAAAAGGTAAAGAAAACAACAATTTGGATGAAACACACTAGTAAAAAAAAAATCACTAGGATTATTTGAATCCCTTTCACTTAAATCTTACAAACTGAACCTTTAACTGAATCTGCAGTCTTTATTTCCAGGGACCCCAGAGACGGAGCGTGATCGGGGGGCCCCTCTCACTTCTGAGTTTAAACTAAATGCTTGATGAATTGTTGCTTGAATTTGTATCTAATGTAATCGTGAGCCAAAAAACAAAATGTGTGGAGGAAGCTTGCTGTGGATTTGCTGCCTTATTTTTTTTATTTATTTTTTCCACAGCTGAGGAATCGTGAAAAGTCCATGTGCTTACTCAAATAAACTGAAATGATCTCCTGCAGTTTTCCTGTCGTCCTGGTGCTGAGCTGCATCTGACAGCTAGAATAAACACGTGTGTGAGTGTGTGTGAGTGTGTGTGAGAGTGTGTGAGTGTGTGTGTGTGTGAACCTGGGATCTATATACAGTAAGATGACGTTTCCCTCGCGGTCACATGACTCTGTACAGTAAGTCCAACATGGCAGACGGAGTGGGTCTTACGCGGTAACTACAGCAACATTTCCTCCGAGGCGGACAAACCCGACAGGACGAGCCAGGATGAGGGAGCGACAGAAGAGGAAGAAGGGCAGGACGTGGGCGGAAGCCGCTAAAACGGTACTCTCGCTTGTTGCGCTTGTTTTTCCCCACTTTGTACAAACTGTGTTGATGAGTTCATGACCCGCTGCCGGAGCACTAATGTTGCGTACGCCCGCCGCGCAAGGCCCGTGTTGACACGGAGGCGCCGCAGCCGCCGCCTCCGCTGCAGTAGCAGCAGCAGCCGCCGCCGTCGTCGCCGTCCCCCGCCTCGCTCTTCCCCGCCGCAGGTTGAGCGCGAACGCGGGCGAAACGAAAGCTCAAGTTTTTCCCCGCACCGAAGCACGTCTCCGACAGCCCCCCCACCCCGCTGTGCGTGGTGTGCTGCGGGTGACACGTCTGTCACGGCTCGAAAGTAGAGTAGCCGCGTTAGCGCGCTATGCTAGCGCTAACCTGCGCTCGTCCACAAGTTTGTTTGCGAGCGAGCAGCGAGCGAAACAGAGCGAAGATGCGCACAGTCCTCATTCACCAACACCCTCCTTAAGTCACCACACGTGGATCGGTTATTATATCTAATCCATGCGAACGTCTGGTTAGACACTCAAATGAATGTTGCTAGCAGCCCTAGCTAGCCGCCTAGCCTAGCACGCTAACGAGCTGCGAAATGTCAAAACTCCCATCAACTCTCCGATAATTGGGTTTCAGGTGATTGTTTGTGGAGATATCAGCTGTGTGGTGATGCACTGGCACCGCTCAGCTGATGTTAGGCTCACACAACATAGATTCAAAGTGTTAATACCTGTAAACATCCTTAAAGAAGTAGGTTAGGGATCAACAAGAGCAGAGGAAAGTAAAAGCGTCACAGTTTGTCTGAATCCACATGTTTGTGGATGTGATTGTGTGAAATGTTTCTGCTCAGTGATTGTGGCGCTGCAGCTTCTCCCTCCTGCACATGTTATTAGCTTAGTACTGATCACCTGTTATTTATTGATCTGGATTATTCTGACTGTCACATCCTGCACTTGTACTGACCTGTCAGGAGGTTTTTGTTCACCCAAAAATGAAAATGCCGTCATTACCTACTCACCACTTTGCAGATGGAGTGTTTCAGTACACAAAACCACACCAATACAATTGAAGTAAATGGTGCATACACTGTTCAATGAAGATCCCTCATTGCATTATGGGTTTTGGATAATGTTGCCTTGTTGTTGCAGGTTTTGGAGAAATACCCGAACACTCCTATGAGCCACAAAGAGATCTTGCAGGTGATCCAGAGAGAAAGACTTAAAGAAATAAGGTAAATATTTTCAGTCCTCACTCGATGCATGTCCTTCTGTTTACATTTGCATGAGCGAGAGGGAGATCTTCAGCGTTCTCCCTCGGTTATCGATTGCTCACATCATGTTCTTTCTTTTCTCTTGATCACATAGTCGGGATTATTCCTATTTCAAATTAATAATTGTTTCATTTCTTTTTGTTTCATTGTCTCTGTTCTCATCCAGAAGGTAAGAAAAAGGCTAGCCCCCCCCGCCCCCCTTTACCTTAACCAAACTCACTGCAATGCCACTTTGTTTGGTTTGACCTTTTGCATGTTATTAACAATAACATGTCCTAGATTCAGTTGCTTAAAGATGCAGTGTTGCAAATACATGCATTTGTTTTTACATTGATGTCCCAGAGCCACCTGTTGCATAAAAACATTTTATCTTCAATTATTGTAAAATATGTGATATTCTGACAAAACTCAACATGACATCTGGTGACAGTGGTTTTATTTGCTACATTATATAATCCAAAGGAATGAGGAACGTTATGTAAATTAATCAACAAACAATCAAGCAGCCATAACTCTGAGCTTATTTGTATAATTTCCATAAACATGTGATGTTGTTTTCCAACTCATTGAATTTTATTGCTAAGAAATTCCCTGCATCTCTTTTGTAAACACATTCACATGCATTGCATAACACAATATAACACAAAGGCACACTGACGAACTTTTTACATCTTGATCTCTTGCATCACTGTGCCGATGACTGGACCTCATGGGATTTTTATGCAACAGTCAACTTTATATCAGACTATTTTAATCTGAGACAATCAGTCCGATTCAATGATTAGATTAGACTTGGATTAATTTTATGCAACTGATACCGCATTAAAACATAGAGCAAATATTCCCACAGCTCCACCGACGTGAAACCGAACTCACACGTCCTCTTGATGCATGATTGCAATTCCTCCCCAGATATCAGTCCAGCCTTTTACCCCTCTCGCGTCTTTCTCCCTAGCACACTGATTTGTTGGGCAGATGTGTAATTTGCATTTTTCTCCCATGATCCAGTGGAACTTCACCGCTGGCATGTCTGAATGCGATGCTGCACACAAACTCTCGTGGCGAGGAGGGGATTTTCTACAAAGTTCCAGGCAGAATGGGAGTCTACACGTTAAAGGTCCGTTAAACTGAGAAAAAGCAGATTTCTCCTCATATATATACATGACCAGCTAATAAAGATAAGTCTGAAAATGAGCACTGTGGGATCATTTGAGATGACTGTACACTTGAGACAGTTTTTTTTCTTACCTGTCTCTGCTTGACTCTCCCTCTGATTTATCTTTCACCTTAAAACAATATACTGAATGCGCTCTATTATATTTAATGTAGAAGGACATCTTAGATGTGGCGAAGGAGCTGTCTGAGGAGGGCTCTGAGGAGAGCAGCGACAATCTTTCGGACTCCAGAAGCACAGAAAACAACAGCAGTGCCATCACTCAGGAGGGCCGGAGAGGACGGTGGATGCGGAGAGGTACTGTGCACTGGTTACAGGATCGTTAATATCTCATTGTACAGCACAGTTAATTGACTATCTCCAAAACCTGATATCATTTGGCATAGTTTGGAATAGCTTGATCACAATGTCAGCTAATACTTTAAAAATAAAATACAGTTTATTGTGCAGGGAAACACTCTCTCTTGCCTAATAGTTAAAATGCCGGATGACAGAAATAACTGTTGTTTGTAAGATGTTCTTCCTTCTGTGGTTAAAACCAGAAGAAAAGAACGATATTTCATCCATAATAACGTATTAACAAAGGAATATCGCTCTTCCATCGGTATATTTTTTACTAATTGGGTTCTGAGCTGTATTATGGCAACAAAAGTTGACGCCCCTTCTCAGCAGCTGTTTAAAACTCATTGCGGAAACACAGGAAAACCAGCTGAAGAAGCAGTAGACGAAGCATGTTGAGGGAAAGTGGCTTCACCACTTCACAAACATAAATGACAACATCTCATCACCAAATGTTTCCTGGAATATACACAGAGCATCAAACATGATGATAGCAAAAGGTGGGTTTTGTCTTTAAAGAAACGTGCTGTGTCCATAATGTTTTCTATCAGCAGGGAAGCTGCAGGCCGCACATGATGAACGCATTGCAGCAGTTTTTTGCTCTTTTGTGTGTCTGCAGAGTCAAATCATAGTTCAGTTGTAAATTACGCACCTGATTGTTGCTGATTGAGCCTTTCGTCAAGTGCCAATTATTTTGTTTTCCTCAGGCTGTGCTCTCGCTGACTCTCGTTATTTTTTCTCTGCCACTTGAATATTTCTAAGCGACTGTTAAAACAGGAAACTGTATTTTTGCAGTATGACCCGTGACCACTTCCTCATAATGCACAAGTTACGAGCTGCCAAGCAAGTGGGAGGACTCCAATAATGTTGTATATTTGAACTAATCAATGCAAAGAGCCACAAATGCACATAAAGCAACATCAGAAGGAAACAAGTGGGACTGCTACGGTATGTAGTAAAAGATGTTTTATTCGAGACAGACAGCAGAGGGGGCGGGGTTGTTATAACTAATCTTCCTTTTGAGATGCTCAGTGCTTCTTTAGTGATGTGAAATCTTAGTAAGGTAATGTCATCTGCCTCTTTGTGCACTGTGTTGGTTTCAGTTTCCTCAACACAAAAGCACGATGTGATTAAGTCTGAACACCACCCTCAGGAAGTGTATTTTGTAACATCTGTTTTGTGCTTTTGTATTTCGTAGTTCCCTCCAAGCTGCAGTCGCAGCCGTCGTCGCCGCAGCCTCGATGTTCATCGCCCTCTGTCCCCACTAGTAAGCTCATCTCTCCCTCGCAGAAACACAGCAAGAAAGCTTTGAAACAGGTACTGGAATTTAGGTCTTTTTTTTTTCTTGCATTCAAGTAGTTTCTCAATGGAGTTGACATATGTAGCATCTGTGCAATCACACATTTCAAATGTTATGAGTTCCTGCCACACCCTTCTGTAACACATAAATACATCCTCATGAAATATACTTATGTGTTTATTTATTTTATTTTGCCGTAATTTAACCAAGATGCATCTTCAGATTTTCTCACCGGGTCTATTTTTTGCATATTTAACTTCACTTATCTGAACTTTTTGGTTTTTGATAAAGTCTGCCTTATCTTCCAGTCCCCTGTGCAGATTATTTAAAAACAATGATTGTGTTTGTGAGGAAGGCCTATAGCAGGTTCTGTTCTTATAATCCACCTATTCAACATTTTTTCTATCAGCTGCTTAATGCATCTTGTGCTCCATTTAATTTGATACCAATTGCACAGCTTGTAATTCACCCCATCTGTGCTGGTGTGGATTTTCAGCTCTGTAAGAACAATGTTTATTCATTTATAGGATGTGAGCAACCGGAGGAGGGGACTGGTGAAATATTAGTGTTTGAGAGACATAGGGTGAAACATCCTCCAGCGACTTCCTACATGTTTCAAACAGACGACAGAAAAAGCACAGATTCTTTTTTTCTTTATCCTTTTGACATTGTGCTTCTGAGGTGATCTGACGTCTTGACAGATTTACAAGGAGATGGTTTATGCTCGTGTTATGCAACCTGTGTTTCAGTGCTGCTGCTGTTATTTAGCTGTTATTCAACCAGACAAGTGGCTGCAGTTGAGTAGTTGGAGAGAAACAGAGGTTTGCACACATTCAGGCTGTGTTTCTCATACTGCTTACTGTTCCCTCATTGTTCTGCTCTTTTTCAGGCCTTGAAGCAGCAGCAGCAGAGAAACCAGCGCAGGCAGGGGGGGATGCCAACCACCTCCAGTCCCAGACTGCTCCTGAAAACCATCAAAGACATGGCTGACAACATAACTACAAAGGCTGGTAGGTATTATACTGTCAAATAAAATATGAGGAACAGGTGTTGATGATGATGATGATGTTTCACACAGATTTTAAGGTCAATGACTGATGCAGTCCTTAGACTGTTATCATAAACATACTCATCATCAAAACATCTGAAACACAGATCTCCGTCCTGCAGTTTCTCAGAGCTTTTCCTCCTCTTCATCTGTCCAAACAGACCTGGGCCATCCAGTCGTACCCAGGAAGGTTCCACAGAGGGCAGGTCGTCTCAGTGCAGGTAAGTCAGACTTCTGCTTTAATTCTATCGAGGGGTTTGGACATCAGAAGGGAAACAGCTGGTGATGTCAATAAATAGCATGTAAAGATCTAAAATAATTATGAATCGCTCTCATAATCAAGTATTGCCCAGTGTTGGTGTAGAATATTCCTTTTTGCTGTAGATGTCTATTGTTGTCAAAAACTATCACAAACCACATTGTCACATTCATATTCTTAATTAAATCAGACACTGGTTTATTTTGAGTTGATCCCACATTTAATGACTAACTGACGTACTCACTAGAGCACCAAATGTGTATTAATCCGCTGACAATAGAGTACTGCATTAGTGATTTGTTTAGGGAGAACAAACACCTTTCCCCTTTTTAAAACTGTTTCAAAATAACTTTTCTGTAAACTTACACGTGGCTGCTTGTACCCACATTGAATTAAATGAAGGAAAAAGTGGAATTATACGACAATTAATGTGACTAAATCTGCAAATGTCAGCTGCAAGATTGAGTCTTGGCTAATGTATCTGTGTTGTTTTGTATTGCAGGGCAGATAAAACGTACCAAGTGTAACATAGACGTGGAGACTCCAGACTCCATCTTGGTGAACACCAACCTGCGGGCGATCATCAACAAGCACACCTTCTCTGTCCTGCCCCCAGACTGCCAGCAGAGGCTGCTCAAACTTCTGCCTGAAGTTGACCGGCAGGTGGCTCTAAACTTTTAACACTTCTTTTAAATTATCACTGTAGAACTTTAATATATTAAACTATCTCAAAGTAGTTTAGAAACTGGTCTTGTTGTTACTGTTTCCTGATGTAAGCCCTGAATTATACACCGTTGTGTATAAGTTAAGCACGAGTCGATGTGCTGATACAGAGATGTAGATTATGATGATATTAGTCATGACATTGTGCTTCCTCTCCACAGGCTTGTATGGACGGCCTTCTCAAGGTGACTAGTTCTGCCTTAAACAACGAGTTCTTCACATCAGCAGCTCAGTCTTGGAAGGAGAGACTGGCTGAGGGTAAGTGCGAATTTCTTTCAACTGATAATAAGAGAAAATTTCACAGAATTCACAGAAACATGTAATCTTGAAAAAATCAAATTTTCTTTTTAGGGGAATTCACGCCGGAGTTGCAGCTACGAATGCGTCAAGAAGTTGAGAAGGAAAAAAAAGTTGAGCTCTGGAAGGAGGCCTTCTTCGAAAGCTATTATGGTGAAAAGTAGGTCCTCCTCTTGATAATTCTTCAATTTAATTAAAAATTTTTTGATTTTCCAAACTCCAAAAGACAATTATTTTCAAATTCAAACCCTCTATTCATAAAACCTTTTCTGTTCTCTATTTAAAAAAAAATCTAATTTCAGAAATCAATCGTTATTAAGTCGTAACATTTACAGTATTTAGAGTTGGATGAGATTTCGGATCCACACAACAATTACACAAACAGACACACAAATACACACATTTGATGTGTTTTGTAACAGTTTCTTTAAAAACCTCAAAGGTAAAAAAATATTTGTTCACTTTAACACAGTTGTCTCTTGTCTGTCTTCCTACTTTCCTCTCTGTATAGTTCTGGGCTCAGCTATGAAGAATCCAAAGAGCTGACAAAGACTGATCAGAATCAGGCGTCTGCCCGGCCCCAGTCTCCCCCTCATCAGACAAGACTGGCCGCTCAAGCATCAGAGGAAACCAAGGGCAGAAAGGAGAGCAGCCAGACTGATGCTGCTGCTGCTAAAGACCTGAAGTCAACACGGACATCGTCGCTGGAGCCTCTGAAAGCATCGCCCGCTGCAAAAGAGCCCGTCGCCACCATAGAGCCCATGAAGACACGACGCGCGCAGTACGCAGAGGATCGTAGGTTGAACACGACGGCGCAGACTGAGCCGACACCTGCAGTGAGAACGCCAGAGGCGGAGAGTCGGACTGACAGGAGAGCGGTGGGTCCGCTGCCCGATAAGGAGCCTAAAGAAGAGGTGAAGGAGGAGAAAACCAATCTCCCCCTGTCACCTGTGAAGAGGAGCCCTCCACCAAAGGGCAGTTCAGAGTTAAAAAAGGATCAGCCGACGTGTGCGGTTAAACCTGCCGAGAGTGAAGAGGTCATCCCTGAGACTGGTGGCCCCGCGGAGCCCCTAAAAAGAAAATCTCTCAGTGAGACGGAGGGTGAGCTGACACCAGAGAAAAGGCCACGTATGTCCTCAGTTTCCTCAGTGTCTTCGGTCTCCTCAGTTTCCCCGCCGGCATCGTCCATATCCAGCCCTGCGACACCAACGGCAGCGTCAAATCAGAGGGTTCCACCGCTCAAGGTTAGTCTGGTCTCATTGGTCCGTCTTGAGTATCAGAAGTTCAGGACATACAGGCCAAAAATCCAGCTCAGACAAGTTTGCAGCTTGTTTCTTTGCAGCGATGCTAAAGTAAGTTTGGTTTCACAGCAATTTGTGTGGATTCCAATGTCAAACCAGAGTCAAGGCAAAAATTTGACAAAGATGTTGTTTGCTCTGCATTCACAATGTTCTCCCCTGGACTTTGAAGGATCATTGTTAGACTTAATTGTCACTTAGTTTTGTGTTCTTGTCCTCGTCTGAGTGGAAAACATTTTTTCAATGAAGGGGAAAATATCCCTTTCAAAAAACATCCACAGTATTGTAGACAAGGTCTCAAGTAGTTTTTAGCTCTGCTGTGGAGAAACATTTAGTTTCTCATTTATTATATATCTGAATATCTGGAAATTGTTCTCTAACATGTCTTTCTTTTCTCATTCCAGATCCCAGTGTCAAGAATCCTCTCCGTTCCTGTGTCACCCAGCCAAGTCTCACCCAGAACCCCTCTGCCCGCCCCGCTCAGCAGCCCGGGCCGCACTGGCGCTCGCACTTTGGCTGACATCAAAGCCAAAGCTCAGCTCGCCCGAGCACAGCGAGCCGCGGCTGCCGCGGTGTCGTCTGCGTCGAAAGGAGCTGTGCCAGGCCCGGGGCCAGGAGGAGGCAGTGGTGAGCATACGCATCCATCACCCAGGTCCTGCCCGACATCCCCACAGACACCAACCAGGTTACAATCCACCTCCACCGGCCATCAGAGCAGTACGCCTCCTTCTCGACCACTGGAATCAAACGCGTCTCACACGTCTTATTCAAACAAACCTCAAAATAGTTCAAACTCATCAACACAATCTTCGCCTGTGCAACCTCTTAAGGGACAGGAAAACCCAGCTCCTGTTGGATCCTCAACCAGGACCAGCTCCTGTATCCCGGCCAACAACCCACTGGTCACCCAGCTTCTGCAGGGTAAAGAGGTTCCGTTGGAGCAAATCCTCCCAAGGCCACTGTCCAAGGTGGAAGTGGAGATGTCAAACTTACCCTCTGGGAGTAAGGGGAAGACGTCACACTCTGCTGAGCACAGGGCTGATGTGCACCAGTTTAACACAGCAGCACGGGCTGGAGTTTTCTCAGAATACTCGAGACACCACAGAGAACTTCCTGACAAGGAGACTCAGGAACAGATCCTCCAGGCTCTGATGCAGAGGAAAGTCCAGCAGCCCCAGCCTTATTTGGGGTTGGGGCCTCAGTACAAGGCCCATCACCTGGTGCATGCAGAAGACCGTCAGGACCAGGCCCGGATTTGCGTTGGCTTTTTGGGTCGTAAGAGGATTCCCAGGCCCGCCATGACAGGACATTACCTGCTCAACGTGTCCACGTACGGCCGAGGACCGGAGAGTAAAAGACTGCATCAGTCTGCCATCCCCAACACGTCTGTGTTTGGTTTCAAAAGGGAAAACGTAGAAGTAGAGCCGGTGGCGAAGGAAGAAGAACCAGTCAGGAAAGTTTTCTCTCCTGTTTCTGGGGTTAAAACGGAGCAGCAGGGCGTCACGGTATCCAAGTCTGAAGAAGCAGCGAGCTTTCAACATTGCTCCAACGTAAAAACCGAGCCTGGATCAGAGGACAGTGCAGCGGGCGCCGACAACAGCAGCACCAGTGCGACAGCCAAAGACACCAGCCCTTTTTCTCAGTCACACCGAGGGCACCTCGAACTCTGCAATAGTAAACAAGGAAACTCCGAGCCATATCTTACCCACGTGGACCCGAGTCACCAGCAGCCCCCTGCCTTCCAAACCCAGAAAACGCTCGATAATCAGGAACCTGTGGTAGCTTCGTGCTTCGGTGGCACAATCAGTATGTCCGTACCTCACACTCTGAACCGCAACGCTGCCGGCACTTGCTCCTCCGCTGCCTCGTCGGAGGCCGACGGGAGCGGCGTTCACGGCAGCGTAATGTCTTTCTCAGTGACCGTCACCACCATACCCGCCGGTCACTCGTTAGACCACAGCAACCAGGGCGAGCCCTCGCCTGAGCAGTCGTTCATCGAGGGCTCCAACATGGAGGACGTGCAGTCTAAATGTTACTGCAGACTGAAGGCGATGATCATGTGCAAAGGGTGCGGGGCTTTCTGCCATGACGACTGCATCGGCCCCTCGAAACTGTGCGTCTCGTGTTTAGTGGTACGATGATATGAAATTGAATCAGAAGTGGTTCATTCAGAGAAAACAGCCAGCGCTTCTGTCTGTCTGTCTGTCTGTGTGTCTGTGTCTGTCTGTGTGTGTGTCTGTCTGTGTGTGTTTGTGTCTCTGTTGGAAAGCTGAGGATTTACACTGGATGGTCTTTTGTTTCACGTCTGAGAGAAGTTGTTTTGTGCAATGGTTTTGGTAGAAATGTCGAATCAGTCTCCAATCAGATGAGTAGTCTGTCAGATGGCAAATATAAAATCTGGTGTGTTTGCACTTGGCTAGGATTAGTGTCATATATTTTTTTTAATATATATATACATACATATATGTATATGTATATGTATGTGTGTGTGTAGTTTTTAAAAAAGGAGGGAAAATGAATGTTGCTATTTTTGTAGAACGTAATGACTGTTGTGTTTTAGACTTAAACTTTGTACTATTATTGGGCCTAATCAGTCGTGATTAAAAGGCAAAAAAAAAAGGGCGCTTATGATAATCATGGGTTGTAGAGTACCTCCTATTTGGCATTTATGCACGCATGGCAGGGAAGTGCAACTTACAGTAACTATTTTTAATATAAAAACTACATTTATTACTGAACACACTCAGATTTAAGAACTACAAAGAACGTGTATAGTTTTAGATGGAGAATATTAATAATATGGAATTTTTGAATGATGACTTTATAAGAATCAAGGGTGAAGCACTTGAAAACCACCTGGAGATAAGATGATAACTGTACAGCACTTAAATCCAAACACACAGAAAAAGAAGAATCATTTATATATATAAATATATATGTTTAAAAAAAAAAAACGTTTTTATGAATCAAGTCTTTTCCATTCTTGGTAAATAACTAACGTCACTTCCTACTGTATGAACCTGCTTTTATTTTACCCGTAGAAAGTTTGTAGATATCTGTTTCTAGATGTCTCCTTTGAAATGGGTTTTCTCGTGCTTGTATCTCTGTACACATGGATCAGCAGTGGCAAAGTAAAACACTCAACAGTGGGGGGGGGGGTCCCTGTACATATTTGCTCATGTATGATATACGCCTAGATGTAGAAAAATGTAGAAAGATTTTTATTTTATCGGTGCAGTACACTTTGCTCGAGCGTATCCAGCTGTTTATTCCGAAATGATTTTCACTGTGGAAAAAGGAAACGGAGAAAAGGAAGTAAATTGTGCTAAAAATGCTTTAATCTGTAATGATTCAGCGCAGCATGTTCTAGAAAATAATCTGGAGGTTCAACGTGACACCGACTAACAGGCAGGTGCAACATTTCACATGTCAACATTTCAAATGGCCTTTTTTCCTGTGAGCGGAGGGAGCACCCCCCTCCTCGTTAACGTGGTATTAAGAAGTGTTACACGCACAGAGTGATGCTGTATCACGTACAATGTGTGTGTGTTGTGTACAATGGTGAACCAGCACGTGCTTTATGATCGTGTGAACACAACACTCATTTTAAACCAACATATTAATATGCAAAAAGGCCAGTGTGAAGTGTTCCTGCCGCACGTTTTCCAGGTGCTCGTTTTTACTGAAATTTAAGATGCATCATTTATATTTCTGAAATCTGGCGGTGCAAAGTAAGCCTGTTTTTTTTTATAGCAATCATTTCCAAGGTAAAATGCCAAAGTCACCTGAAGAAAACGAAAATAATCCGAACTTGTTTTTAAATGTCTGACTAGTTAATCAAAGTAATATATTTTAATTAATATATTTTAATATAAAAGAAAAACTATTTGCTAATTGTTTTTGACAAATCAACAGGGTATTTACTATGATAATGATAATAATATATTGGCTGTCCGCTTTTTCCTTTAATTTAGTTCTGACCGGACAGACCACCAAACAGAGAACGTGCCCAGGTTTCTGTTTCTCTGTACGGCCCAACTTTTTAAACGCATCCATTCTTTTTGTGTTTTTTTTTTTTTCCATAGAGATGTTGTCCAGTGTGTTGATCCGTGTAGCCATGTACCTTTGTCATCACTTAATGAAAACAAAATGTGTGTCAATCAAAGCACAACTTGTAGTTCAGTGGATTAATCCCAAGTCAATTAGTAAACGTCTTTGATATAAAAGAGGGGGGGGGTTGTGTTGTTTGTAGAGAATTGGTTTTCAGGTTGTTGGGCTGGAATCTGGAGGTTTCCACAGATGTAGTGTAGTCATGTCACTAAAACTGATTCTGTTAACACAAAGCTCATTTGCTCCCCTCCATGAATATTTAGGTCTTATCTTGGTGGAACGTGATGGTGGAAAACTGTGTGTGCTCACGTAGAGGCGGGGACGGGGCCGCGCTGCCACAATAGAATAAAGAAAACATTCAATCGCAGCAGAAACGGCAGCTCACATCTCTGACAATGACTGAAACATGAACCAGGCGGCAGCAGCGGCCGTCCTCACGGTCTCTCTCACCTGTTCTGTGTGTGTGTGTGTGTGCACGTAGGGGGACAGTTCTTATGAGAATTGGAAGCCATCATGGGCGATCACCACCGTTTTTTTTTTAAATGTCACGTTCGTCACTACAGGTGAATTTGTTTTTAACGTGTCTCGTGTCATTTTGTCTCCATTTAAAACTCTGGTTGAATGTACTATAGTAATCAGCACTTGTAAACAAAGTGTATTTTATCAGAAGTTATAGACTATTATGAATAAATAATGAAGAGAAAAGTACTTTGTGTGTCGTTTTGTGTTTTGCTGATGGAACTCACACACACAGGAACACTTCTAAAATGTTCTGTGTGGTTTTCTGAAGTTGAAAAGAACACAACAGCGCCACCCACTGCTCTGTGTAGGTACTCCACTGCTGCAATATACTGCCCCCATGTGCAACTCGAACTGAAATGGAATCAACATCAGTGACAGAGTTTTTTTTGTATCGTTGGATTAGAGGAGGGGGGGGGGGGGACACAAGACACATCCAAAACCCTGCAGAATATTTTAAAACTTTAATATACAGTGCTTCATGAATCATTACTAAAAACACAGGTGGTAAAAATCAAATCAAAACAAATAAATTACACTAGAAAAAAAGCACTTGAGATTCCGTTCCATTTTCTACGTTAGTGTGAACCCCATATGAAAATAGCATAGAAAGTATGCAACATAGCTTTTCATCCATATATATATCTTCTAATTTTTTTAGCTAAATAAACCTTTATCCCAAAAATTTCCCTTAATGAACCATCTGGATGAAACGAGGACGTTTACAGCTGCGTTCGTGCCGCGGCCTCATCATCACTGCTGCTTT